CACGGAGAAAGCCAGGAGGCCCAAGTCTCAAAGATCCCCCCCAAAACGGGGGGGGGGGGGGGTGGAAAGCCACCCTATTTTATCCCTATTTCATGCAACCCCCTTCCCACTCTCCTGCCCTCAGAAAGCAGCTCTGCCAGGCCAGCTGAACAGCAGAATCCTGCAGCATCCATCCTGGAAACCCCCTGGACCACATGGCCAGGGAGCAGGAGCACATTTCCTGCCACCTGGTGAGGAAGGACAGTGAGTTAGGGAAAAAACCCCAGGAAGCTGGACCACAGCCACAGACTCCACCTGTAGCCTGGCTAAGGATGCAAACATCTGCAGCTTCTGACTCTTGTGAGATGGGATCTAGCCCGTTTCTAGCCAAAAAGTGCACCTTTTGGCCCAGCAGACCCCACTTCAGGGCTTCCCAAAGCATCTGGCCAGACAAAACCAAAGTCAGATGGGTGATTCCCAGCTTTTCTTGCTGAAAGAAACCGACCTGGAAGATGTGAGCAGAGCCTGGCCACACACTGGGCTGAGCACCAGTGTCTACTGGTGTGTGCCTGCTGCAGAGCTGCAGCACTGACAGCTTCCATTACAGCCACTGGTTTTGTTCTGAGCTTGCAAAGAGCCTTGTTGGAGCCCAGAAACCAGCTGGAGAATCCACAGGGAATGACCAGCACAGGCACAACCATCCCTATGACCACCAAGGCAGCCAACCCAGACTCCTCTGCTGGTGGGGTGCCCAAGGAACCAGTCCTCCAACCCAGTTCTGATGGTCCCCCAAGGACCCTGCAGGGCACCAGGGCTTTTTCTCAGGTGACAAAAGGGCTGTTCCTCCTCCTGCTCCACCTCTAGCATGAACACCAAGCCTGCAGTCCTAGGGTGGAGGGGCTGGACCCAGCTGAAGCAGCTCTGAAGCTGGTGCCCCTTTTTGTGCCAACCAAGAAAGAACAACTCAGACCACCAGGGACAACGAACCCAAGGGCTGTAACGTTTTAGGAGGGGGAAATAACAAAGGAATCCAGCAGGCAGCTGGTGTTGGGCCCTGCCAGCACCACTCCACAGCCACAACCCTCCTCCTGATGCTCCCAGGCAGCCCCTGGCTGCAGGAAGGGAAGATTTGATCTCCTTGTCACCCCAGCCCTGCCACCAGATGCCTCCAGCAGGTTGCAGTTCAAGCCTGCAAACAGAAGCTGCAGCTGCTCCTAAAGGAGCCAGGGCTGAGATGGAGGAATCAAAACCTAAAAAAAAAAAAAAGAAGTAGAAGAAGAAGAAGAAAATAAGGCTGTGGGGAGGTGCTGACAGCTGGGAACTCCCATGAGACACTGTCTGGGAAAGCCAAGGAGCTTTGGAATATTGGCAACACAATGAAATCCCTGCAAGGAGGATTAGTAAGATCATAGAAATCAGCAGCTTTTAAAGGAACAATCACTTTCCACTTCTCACAACATGTTATTGGGTTGGTTTTTTTTTCCTCCACCAACCTCCAAAGCTTTGGCAGTGGGGGAGGGTGGGATGGGTACTGAAGGCATGAGGTCTGGGGGTCTGCAGCCCATAACTGCCCTGAGCAGCAGCACCAGGGTAACCAGCAGGACTTGGCAGGATGAGAAATAACCCTCCAGCCACACACCCTCTGACTGGACCAGCTCCTCGAAGTGGTTTTGCAAAGGCAATAACCATCTCCCAAAGGGT